ATAAAACCTTAAAACGACAAAAAAAAAAAACATGAATGAAAATTGACCTCCATTATTTTTTTCTATTTTGTGGTGATTTTATCTACAAAGGCGAGATGGCAAGTAAATGTTGCACGTTTTGCATTTGAACTGTCTAGTGAACATCAGAGGTATTAACAGCGTGTTGGTTTGTTCACTAGTTGTTTTAGGAAAGGTGATAAACCATCTCTAATTCTACACTGGCATCAGTATGCCATGGGGGGCAATGATGAAAATATGCAAAATAATGTAATCGTAAATGGTAAAATTCAACGGTAGATTAAGAGAAGATAAGAGTTTATTTAACCAATTATAAAAATCTGGGGCAAGTTTGATAATATACAGAGTTAAAGTACCGGTAGTAATACAACAGATAAATTAAGAGTTTGGTTTAGAGAACAAGTTTGATAATATACAGAGTTAAAGTACCGGTAGTAATACAACAGATAAATTAAGAGTTTGGTTTAGAGAACAAATTAAAATGCGTTACTGCAATTGGATAAATTAAAGCTGTTTAAAAAGCGTTTACGTGCGTTTACTGTTAGGAGTCTACTATTGCTTGGTAAAAAAAGTAAAAAGTAGTCATGCTGGATGAGCAGAATCTTCCATGGTGTTCACAGTTCTTTTATCCAGTCTGTCTTTAAATATATCATCCAACTTTGGGTAGATCTTGCCCGATAATCTTGCTTGCAGTTTTTACAACGTTTGTTAGTTTATTCCAAGTGAATGTAAAATTGCTTGTGAATATCATTCAAACTGAAAAAAGTGTGACGCAACTTTAACTTTAATAATTTCATATTATTTGCAAGGTAAAAAGTCACGTCCGCTATCTCGAAATTATGGAGTTTATAACTGGATACGTTAAGTGGCTTTCTCTACTTAATGGAAGAAAATGTGTCTAAAATTACAACCAATGCTAATGTGTTAATGCTTAAAAAGAATCAGTAAATGTTCAACCAAATATCAATTTGGTTTAAAAGGCAAGTGGGCGTACGCCTGAAGATAGCGTGAATTACTCAAAGCACACTTGCTTTACATGGTAGTGCCCGACATGTTTCAGGTTCACTCAACCAACTGTTGTTAACTTGTTATTGTAAGATTCACTAGCTAATTTGGGATTTATGTATATATTATATACCACCAATGAAGTGAAATGCTTTATACACGGTATATTAAATAATTTCATGTTGACATATCATAAAGCGTGCTCAACTTTGCTACAAACAGCATGCTCCGATGCCTCCGAGTGTATTTGTTAAGAAAAGATCGTGGTCATTAATATGATTATAAACGCTACATTAAGTTATTACCAACCAGTTATTACGTTACGTTTTGTATACGTCAAAATGACTGGAAACGAAACTTGGCTCAGTCGTGTAAAGTATGTGCGTTTGTGACACGTGGCCGCACGACATCTCACTGAACCGAAATAAGTACAGTTACTTTCAAGTCGTTGATGATTAGATCTTTTAGGAAATGAAATACTTTTTATTTTTCCTTTTCCGTAAAATAAATGTGACTTTCGTACCGAACTGATAACTGTTGTTGTGGCTGAGAAAATTAGGGAAAAAACACGAAAGCAGTGGGTGTCGCCTAGAGTGTGTTGGTAAATACAAGAATCCGCTTCATAAAATAATAATAATAATAATAATAATTATAATTATTATTATTATTATTATATGCAAATAAAAAAGTTGGATCGTAAAATATTATAAATGGTTAAATTCACTGAAAGAGAATATGATTAATAAAAATGTTAATTAAAAGTGCTTAGATGAAATAAAATATTGGGCACTCTTAGGATATTTACTGTAGGAAGAAGACGGATTTCCTTTCTGTCATGGGTTTTATATGCAAAAGTTAATTTCCCCGGCCCCATGCGTCATCTGGGACTCGAGACTTTCCATTACCATGGTTCATGATGACGCCATGACTGACGTACTCTCTCACTCTCAGTACGTACGTGTTTCTTCTTATAGTAATCAAATGCAATTTTCAGAAATTATTTCTGGCAAAAATATTGCACTGAACATTCTAGAATTTGAACCCGCGTACAGGCGTCTAGTTGTGTCAGATCAAATAAAAAATTTCACTTCGTCACGGAGATGACCAGTTTGTATACATCTGCAGTTACAATCGATAGCCAGAAAACCGTTCAAATGTATTTCATCCCTCGCAACGCCAGTCCCCGATCATGGTCTTATCTCCAATTTTGATGTATCTGATGTGAACGAGGCCTTGTTTGAGAAGCCGACCTAGATAGATTTTTTTTTTGCTGTGACATTGTTTTATGTTGAGATTTAGTTTTGCTTCACCTATGACGTAAAAGAGCACAATGCTCCACACCTTGACGGTTTTCGTTTGAGCAAGCCCCGAAGAAGACGGAATCATTTAAAAACGTTCAAATGTGTAATGGTTGTTACGCCTTATATTTAATCAATTGCTACGATGCGAATTTTGAGAAAAACATATTTGGCAAGTAATTCTACCGAGGAGATATATTATTTGTCTGCTGAACGCAGGTTGCAGGTGGTATGACAGTGCAGACAGTATTAGTACACTATAGTCATAGTAAACGATAGCACACGTCTGGAAACACTTGATTTACGTTAGTACACACGTTAGTTGCAGGTGGTATGACAGTGCAGACAGTATTAGTACACTATAGTCATAGTAAACGATAGCACACGTCTGGAAACACTTGATTTACGTTAGTACACACGTTAGTTGCAGGTGGTATGACAGTGCAGACAGTATTAGTACACTATAGTCATAGTAAACGATAGCACACGTCTGGAAACACTTGATTTACGTTAGTACACACGTTAGTTGCAGGTGGTATGACAGTGCAGACAGTATTAGTACACTATAGTCATAGTAAACGATAGCACACGTCTGGAAACACTTGATTTACGTTAGTACACACGTTAGTTGCAGGTGGTATGACAGTGCAGACAGTATTAGTACACTATAGTCATAGTAAACGATAGCACACGTCTGGAAACACTTGATTTACGTTAGTACACACGTTAGTTGCAGGTGGTATGACAGTGCAGACAGTATTAGTACACTATAGTCATAGTAAACGATAGCACACGTCTGGAAACACTTGATTTACGTTAGTACACACGTTAGTTGCAGGTGGTATGACAGTGCAGACAGTATTAGTACACTATAGTCATAGTAAACGATAGCACACGTCTGGAAACACTTGATTTACGTTAGTACACACGTTAGTTGCAGGTGGTATGACAGTGCAGACAGTATTAGTACACTATAGTCATAGTAAACGATAGCACACGTCTGGAAACACTTGATTTACGTTAGTACACACGTTAGTTGCAGGTGGTATGACAGTGCAGACAGTATTAGTACACTATAGTCATAGTAAACGATAGCACACGTCTGGAAACACTTGATTTACGTTAGTACACACGTTAGTTGCAGGTGGTATGACAGTGCAGACAGTATTAGTACACTATAGTCATAGTAAACGATAGCACACGTCTGGAAACACTTGATTTACGTTAGTACACACGTTAGTTGCAGGTGGTATGACAGTGCAGACAGTATTAGTACACTATAGTCATAGTAAACGATAGCACACGTCTGGAAACACTTGATTTACGTTAGTACACACGTTAGTTGCAGGTGGTATGACAGTGCAGACAGTATTAGTAGCCTACACTATATGCTGTTTTCCAACCACCAAATTCCTTTTATACCAAATGTGTACATATTAACTGATTTCCAAACCTTTTTTTTTTTGCTTGTGGACGTTTGAAGTCGTTTGTGGACGTTCGTAGTCGTTAATTAGGAGGCGAGGAGACCATCGGGAATCAGCGGCATCGCTTTTGAAGTGAGGTAGGCCATATTTATTCGTATAAGTACTCGGATCATCTTTTCTGAATTGCTCTAGGCCTAGGTGGACTGCTAGGTGAAACCAGTATAGCGGCCAGGACACTCTTATCAATGTTAGATAGACCGACCCCCCTGACCCTATGCATGGGTGTCTGGTATCATTAGTGGAACAATTTACAGGATTGTTAGCAGATATCATCAGTGGGACTTTAAAACCGGATTGTTAGCATTGTTTGCAGACATGATCAGTGGAACTATATACCGGATTGTTTGCATTGTTTGTAGACATTACCAGTGGAACTATATACCGGATTGTTAGCATTGTATGTAGACATTACCAGTAGAACTATATACCGGGTTGTGAGCATTGTTTGCAGACATTACCAGTGGAACCATATTCCGGATTGTTAGCATTGTTTGCAGACATTACCAGTGGTAATATATACCGGACTGTTAGCATTGTATGTAGACATTACCAGTGGAACCATATACCGGATTGTTAGCATTCTATGTAGACATTACCATTAAAACTATATACCGGATTGTTAGCATTGTTTGCAGACATTACCAGTGGTACTATATACCGGGTTGTTGGCATTGTTTCTAGACATTACCAGTGGAACTATATACCGGATTGTTAGCATTGTTTGCAGACATTACCAGTGGTACTATATACCGGGTTGTTGGCATTGTTTCTAGACATTACCAGTGGAACTATATACCGGGTTGTTAGCATTGTTTCTAGACATTACCAGTGGAACTATATACCGGGTTGTTGGCATTGTTTCTAGACATTACCAGTGGAACTATATACCGGGTTGTTGGCATTGTTTCTAGACATTACCAGTGGAACTATATACCGGGTTGTTGGCATTGTTTCTAGACATTACCAGTGGAACTTAATACCGGATTGTTAGCATTGTTTGTAGACATTACCAGTAGAACTATATACCGGATTGTAAGCGTTGTATTAAGACTCTACCAGTGGAACTATATACCGGATTGTTAGCATTGTATTTAGACATTACCTGTGGAACTATATACCGGATTGTTAGCATTGTCTGAAGCTATCATCAGTGGAACTATTTACGTGGTCGCCTCACAGGAAATAACAGTTTACGTATCACCTAGGTTTCTTTATTTAATACAATTATCGATCCAGCGTCTCATAATAAGGCTTTGACGTTACTTAAAAATATCTTAGGCTATATTATTCATGAATACGTCTTCAGACTATAAAAATGTACAGGCAAATTGGAAAGTGTAAGAAAATGATAATTCTGTTCTAACTTTACCATTCTAATTACTGATAGATTACCTCCTTCCAATCCGGTGACGAGTTGAAATCTACCTAGAACCTCCACCAGCACAAACAAAACCAAAAGCACTCGCGGCATCTTTAATTAGACTGTATACAGAACGATCCACGGCTTACGTATAGACACTGGGAATGCTTGACACGTTACAGCCGAGATGATGATATGTTGAGCGTCAGTGTGTGGTAGATGTACAATGCTCGTCCACCTCAGATCTTCTGCTGACAGACAAGTCATGAAATGCGCCTTTTATATCACATTTCTCGTTCTAATGAAATCTGACCGGTCAGTTAGCGTCTCGTTCTCCTTACACCATCCAGGGCTGCAGAAGCAGCTTAATAATGAATTTGACACTCAATGTAAAAGGAAGTGCGCGGTAAACACTCACGATATGGGTTTAATATGTCTTTATCAACACTTGTTTATTTCTGCACGACTTATTTCAACAAATTATTGTACAACTGGTTTTCTCTCATATATCTCAAATTGATATCTGGTTCCGTTTTCTTCGAAAGGGGTGTCCACCAACGCCTCGTCCCTACAAATTAATAAAGAGCCATTGAACTCTAGGACAATGAAGTAAATGTCTCAAGTCTAGTTTTTCAAAAACGATTCTGGCAATTAAAATTTGTGGCGTCTTTAATTTTAGCACGAGAGTCGTTTTAGAAAAACCAACACTAGTCTCCGGTTACCAGAATATTTTTTTAAGCTAATATGAAAAAAAAATTCCTTCTGATTGTGATCAATGCGTTAGGTAGCGTTAAAATTCATGCAGTGAACAAAGAGAAGCATTCTTTTCCAATGGTTCCTCACCGAGTCACCCTTACTATATGACGCGAACCAAAAATTAATTAACAATTCACTCTTTGTTACATGTAACATGTATAAGACTTTAAAGTAATAGAAAATGACCTGTACAGTCTTACCTCACGTGCTGAAACTTTTCGGGATCAATCTCGGGAAAAAAGACGTCACTTTCAAATTCTCCGAATACTCTGGTAACGTAAACTCGATGACAGAGGGGGGAGGACATTGCTGTCTGAAAATGGTGAGTTTATATTTTACGGGAGTGTAAGACCATATGAAAGCTTCTGATATTTCTGTCATATAATATACAGCACTGGTAAGTAATAACCGAAAACGTTCTACAAATTGAACATCGCATCTGTATTGAAACAAGCATGACTAAACAATTTTGCTCTTTGATCTTCAAGGTCATTGCCGGTATGCAAACTGACCGTTGTTTTTTCCTTTCAATAAAGTACATCTGTATAAACATGTCCTCTCTCTTTGTAATATCAGAAAGGTCATCTAAACAAAATGAAACTAAATATCGCACCATGTGCCACAATACCGCAGAGTAATTAAATAATGTACAGTCACAGTGTATTTTACCTTGTAGACGTGACTGTCACCCATCACCCACACACGCCTAGTACTTTACCTTGTACACGTGACTGTCACCCAGTACCCACACACGACCAGTACTTTACATTGTACACGTGACTGTTACCCATCATTCACACATGACCAGTACTTTACCTTGTAGACGTTGCTGCCACCCAGCACCCACACATTCTCTGCGTCTTCTGCCGCCAGGGACCACGACAACGCCTCCTCAAACGATTTCGCAATGTGATGGACGTGTTCAGGTCTTTTTCTGGAAATACAGATGTACATAATCGTAAGGCCTTGGGATGAGCAAGTGCTCCGCTCACCCCACTTTTATAACCTCTATCGGTATGTATACACTGTATACATGTGTACATGTACACAATAAATAAATTATATATATATATATATATATATATATATATATATATATATATATATATATATATATATATATATATGATAAACAAGAAATAAATACAGCAGTTATTTTGCCCCGACCGGTTTCATTGCATCTTCAGGGGGTTTGTTTATTTTGGTTGCTAAGAGATGTCATAAAGACTCAATGTGATGTCTCTGACAATTTACGATTTACGATGGATTCAAATTCAACACAACTCCCATTCCTTGATGTTATGGTAATGAGTGAAAAAGGAAAAATTGAGGCAGATGTGTATTACAAAACAACTGACAAAACAATCTCTCCCTTCACATGCCAGACACATTAAGCACAACATACCATACAATCTAGCCCGAATACTATGCACAATTGTCTCAAATGAAACCATATTAAAACAAAGTGCGGCACCTGTCCACTAATTAAAGAGGGGAGCCATCTAACATTTAAAAATGGACTTACATTTACAATTAAACACCCATTTACCTGCACTAGCTCAAATTTAATTTATGTATTGACCTGCAGTGGATGCGGTGAGAACTATATAGGACAAACTGGAGCACATAGAATGACCGTTCACAGACAACAAATACGACAACCTAAATATCAGTGCAAGTCTGTGAGTGGGCACATTAGGGAACGCTATATGAACAAAAACAAGAACTTTACAGTATTCCCATTTTATAAATTCACTCGAGAAACAACCCAAACAGAAAGGGAAAATAAAGAAAATTTCTTTATTTATAACTTTAAACCTACAGTAAACAGGTAATGGCTGATCTATATATATACTCGTACAGGAAAAACACTTTTACTTTCAATATATATATATATATTGAGGTTCTGGATGTGGTGTGGGTGTGTGTGTGCGTGAGTGTGTGTACACTCACAATGTTGGCCAATGTTTATCTCACCTTAGTCCTATTTGCTTTTGTTTACAAATGATCACATGGCAGCTGTGAGCCGTATTTAAAACCAGTTTTTAGTCCTCATACAATATTTAACATGACTCCTGATTAAGGAAAGCCAAAATACTGGCAAAGATTTCTATAAAAGTAATAAAATAACCATAAAATGCAAAAGACGTTTCCAAACGTAATCAAATGTACACACAATTAACTTAAAAATATGTTTTTGAAAAGTAACATACTATTTAAAAATAACTGTAACTGTCTCCTGTAGGTGACTCAGTATGCCTCCAACAAGTGCCAGGGCCTGTTTTGTGGGATATTGTCCCAAATTGACCAAAAACGACCGGATTGTTTCAGATTTTAAGGGGGGTCGTTGATCTCTGCATCCCGCACTCCTGATCACTCCTACGGGTCTCAGTAGGTTTAGTATGTGAGCTCAAAGATGGTTGTTCAGAACACTGTGTTTCTGCAACAAATCCATCCACACACGAGAAGTGTGAGCCAGTGCATTGCCATGATAAAGCCTGAAGTCGGAAGTCACCTCTTGCAAATGGAGTGACGTCTTCAAATTCTTCTTTTTTTGTATTTTTTTACTTCTTTGGAAATCACTGTAGAAAATCATACTTCAAGGGTGCATGTTCTTAATTTGAATAAATGCTGTGAAATATGGATATCTTCTCCGATATTAGGGCTTTTGTTTATTCCAAGTCATGTTAAATATGGTATATGAAAATAAAAAAAAGACTATTTAAAACAGTTAACTGCTGCCGTATGATAATTTGTTTAAACAAAAGAAAAAAACCTAAGGACTAAAGGTGGGACAACCATTTTGACCAATAGTGTATATACGGCTTACAATGTAGACAATTTTTACAAGATTTCATTAACATGAAAATCCGTTCAATCTTTTTTAGCTTTTATCCCCTAGTTCAATATTAAATACTTCAATGTCTAATTCCACTAAGTTTTTTAACTCACGCCATCTTTGAGCTGATGACCACATTGAGCCGCCTGGGATGTGACTTGACGGCTGCAGTACCGGCCTCCCACGTCAACCGACCACGGATGTTTACACACTTCTTGCTGGGGTCTGTGGTAAATGACGTGAGCGTCTGGTAGTACTCCAGGTCTTTGCTGACATTAGTGACACAGTCATGAGTGAATGAATAAAAGAATGAAATAAATCATCGTTTCAGCCTCACTGTACCAAATCTTATACAATGACCCACGTAAATATTTATGTCAAAAAGCCCACCAGGAAATATTATTAAAAGGTGATTTCCCAAGGAACGCATTTTTTCTTTCAAGAGGCAACAATATATTTGGCATAAACAATAAAAAACCTCCTCTCGAGGATAAAATTGATATCTTAAGACTATATCACCAGTTTGTGTTTTATTCCTGAAATTAGAGTTTAAATTTATTTGATTGCTCGATTCAGTCAACACACATGGCTTGTAGCTTTATTTAATGTGGGCCTATGGTGAATTCAACTAGAGGCATGCTATAATATGTTTGTCATATGTACCTTAGTTTTGGCCATGGCAAGGTTCCCTTGTTCCCTATACCGCCGTCACGGTCTGATAGCGCCACGATTGCATTAAATTTGCCTGTGGGCGGCTGAAGCTTGGCCGGATCATAGACCTGAAAAATACCAAAAATACACGACAGTGGATACCATCGTTACTCAATAAAATGTGTTAAGGTTCAACATCCCTCTTCCGAACTAATTTTCGTGTTTTCTGTTCATACTGAGAAAGTACAACCGGAGTATTGATAAGATAGATACTCGACCTGAACATTATTCATCCTCTCCATTATGCCATGAGATGATGTGGAGGCAGAGTAGCCACACTGTATGCCGTGACCCACGTGATGACGACCCTGCATTACTCTGTAGATAATGGTTCCTTTATTAGTTAATTGTCTGCTGCTTTGCTACTTCACTCTGCGTGCAGGGCAATCTAGATACGAATTAATGAGTAAAATTGACACCCAAGTTATGTCAGGAAGATGACCTCATTTACGAGCACGTACTACGTTAGTATGTGTAAAAGGAAAGATGTTATCCACAACTAGTATAGAGGAGACATTCCAGTACCAGTGAACCTCTATGCTCTGTATTTTATGTTGATAAAAAAGGTATTACTTACAGGACATGCACTGTCAGCTATGTGGAGAGTGTATCAAGGGGAGAGGATGCAACATTATAAACCTAAACCCAATATACAGGTGCATTTCTCATGCTGAAGTGTCCAACATTATAAACCCAAACCCAATATAGAGGTGCATTTCTCATGCTGAAGTGTCCAACATTATAAACCCAAACCCAATATACAGGTGCATTTCTCATGCTGAAGTGTCCAAAAATAAAATTGATTGAATTCAGAGTTGTCTTTAATTTTTAAAACATTTATGTGTATAGAACAAAAATCCACGACTGTCTCAATTTAAATTCATATTTTAATTTTTACCATGTCTTAACATTACGCAGAGTCCTAAATGGTAACGTATGTTGCGGAAACGTATGGTAACGTATGTTCCAGGTCATTTAGTTTTAATTTTTATACCGTGTTCCGATATTATGTTTTGTAGTGATTCAGTCATGGTAAAATATACATGACGTACAGATAAGGATGTTTTAATAAATATCTTAACTGTAACTGAAGGGGCTTTGTGTCATGGCTAAAACAAGGTAACATATGTTCCTTACAATAATTGTCAAAAAGCTTCATTTTGTTCAAGTACTTGGTGCAATAGAAAACTATATTTATATATATTGGGGTTCCATGATAGTTTGACATTTCTGATATAATATTTGGATCACAAGGGGCGAAATAATGTATTTAATGCTTTTTTACTGTCGGTACGGTGTTTTTTTCCCTTTTTTTAAATATTCAGTAACGAGCAGACTAAAAAAAATATTAACTGCTCTGTACAGATGATTATCATGATTTTTTACAACGTTATATTTGTAGGAGGTAAACCAAAGCACTAAAACCAGTGATGCTTGAAGTTTCATCGTGAGCAAAACGTACGTTTCACGTTTTGCATTTGTGACTGACATATGTTCCTTTTTGGGGTTAGAAGATTATTTTTTATTATTCATGGCTCCGAAGAGTGAAACTGATACAAACTTCTTCATGTGGGACCCTAAAATAATCAAACATAGTTTGCTATCAGTGCACTAAATATTTTAAGAGCATGCCTAGCTGTGACTTCAATTGCACTTCTATATTGTGTTTAGGTGTATAGCGGTGTATTATAAGCACCTCATTAACGCACGGTATTGTACATCAGGGCTTAAATTGAAAGCTTCTCACATCGCAACCGCACGCAAGCATGGCGATTCGTCGCTATATCGTAACTCGAGAGCATCGCAATTTGCAACCGAGCGCTAATAGCGGTATCACCTCTACTTTCGAGGCTATTATTTGCGACGAGTAAATCCCGTCGCAATAGCCATTGCGTATGCATAATTCGTCATTTTAATGTGTCTTTCATTTAATAAAACACGCCGGCAAGTTTGGGTTGCTAGTCATAATAGCATATAACAAAGCATGAAAGCTTATAATAGATTGAATCACTCGGTACGTCTGATAGAAAATTTTCAAGGGTAGAATGCTGAAGTCATGCATGTTTTATTATGCATAAAAAATGTCAAAATTATACATTACATATATAATTTTATTTTTCTGATGAATATTCATCTGAGTAGTCTATTGTGCACAAAATGAAAAAGCAGAAACAAAGCATTCGGTCACACCGTGACCCTCCTAACTTGAGCAGGGCCGTAGCCTCCGGGGGGGCAGCTGCCCCCTCCCCCTGAGATTTGAGGTGCAAAAAAATAATCGCAAAGGTAAAACAAATTATTACAATCAGTTAAAATGCACCAGAATGCAGTATGTTTCAGTAATTGTATCAGTCCGAACACGTGCGCTTCGCTTATTGAATTGTTTTTGACATTTTATTGGTGTCAAACATTTCAAATACCAATATTTGTAACGGTAATATTTCTGTAAATTAAAAAAAATAGCATCATACTGAAATGAAATCACATCTGAGATCATGTGTAACTGTGTTATGCCGTCCTCACGGCAATGGGATTCTAGTAGCGTTCGAGGCTATAATTGCGTTGAGCTTGCTGAGGCTTCGAGTTAACAGGTGGGTGCAATCGCCCTCGCAAATAGTGACGAATCGCTATGCGTGAGCTCGGTCACAATTCGCGATGTTTTCGAGTTACGGGGCCCAGGTAGACTACCTTCCGTTTGACAAAGAGAGACACGGGCTCCTCACCCTGAGCTTCAGAGATAACTTGACACTAACCTCTTCACTATAGCCTATCTTCATCGTGTCAAGTTACCTCTGACGAAATAGTTTGGCCTAGTTTATATAAGCCAATCGAATCCATGTTTCAAAATTTTTCACCAAAGTTTGGTGAAAACGCTGATTGGTTGAAAGTCCAGAATTATGTTCAATGAGAAAATTGTATTTCGTTGCGTCCGCGTAACCGTCAATCGGCAATCCTCGGCTGATTCCGCAAGCTCCATACTAACAACAAAAGTTATTGTCGAGTGCGGAGACATCCGAGTAGTTCCGAGTGCATAACCGTACACAAAGAAAGCATGGCGTCTCCTACGAGTGACTACGTAAAAGAATGTGTTAAAGTTATCTCTTTGCAAAATATGAGTATATCGGAATTGAAACCAGAGCAGTTTATATATATATATATATATATATATATATATATATATATATATATATATATATATATGAAGTTGCATTTGAACGGTTTTATGAGTCTTCCTGGTCAATCGAGCAATTTTACCTGGGAGCTCCCTTAATTTTTTGTTATCAACTAGTTAGGTCAGGTCAATTTTTGAAGTAACATTGATTTCAGCCAAATGGATATTATCTGATAGAGCAATTCACTAGGGACGAATCGCAATGCTCGCGCTCGGTTGCAATATGCGATGTTTTCGAGTTATGGTTATATTCAAAACTTGAGAGCATCGAAATTGCAGCCGAGCGCAAGCCCGTGTTATTATGGGCTGACACAATTACTGCTACACTGGCGAGCAGTGTTCAGTCTCATATAATACACTGAGTAAGGGCACTGTGTGACCGAATCCTGTGTTTCATTATGTGTAGGTCTCCCCGAATCCACACGCGCCTTCGCTTCAAGGACCAAGCAATTAAACCTCAGAGCAGAAATTTAATCCGTTTAAAGGTGCGTATGGAGTCGGGAGACCATCTGGAATCAGCGGCATCGTTTATATGAACTGCGGTCGGCCATATTTAAATGGCGGATCAGTTGGTACATGTACTCGGATCCTCCATTCTGAATGGGGCCTATCAGAAGTTTGAAGAGTCATCTTACAGGTTGATAACGGCAGCTCAGTTTGACAGGTTAACACGCTGGCCATCTACTCCTGTGGCTTGTATGTCGTTGTTTTCTGAAGGATATTTGCTCTGTTCAAGCCGTTTTGATATCCTTTAAGAAATGTACTTTTAACACAAACATTTCTCTTTCCCATGGCTTAATTGCCTTCTTCACTTCTCAATTGATATAAGACTCATGGCCTGTTACCGCACACACAATCGGCTTAGAACTCATTAACTTTGCGCCGCCCCCTCATGGGGAAAGGCCCTTACCAACGGATGCATGGCTTAGTCATCAGGATGTGCCGGTTGAAAAACCTCATCAAAAGTCAAATTTTTTTGTCTATACTCAAAAAAATTATTTCATCTAATGTTAGATACGTTTTTAATTAATATACTCAAAAAACCTAAAAAAAAAACATGATTTTAAAGTCATTTTACCCTATCACACGCCTTAAACTACGTCCGTTTCACATTCTCCATCAGTTCTACTAGCATTAATCGTACGCAGACTGGCTCCCGTGAAACTTATGTGCTAAATCCGATACTAAGGCCGCATTCAGAACAGTGGACTAACGAGTCCGCGGGTCAAATATGGCGACCCACTAAAAAGCTTGCCGTCTAATCCGCTAATAGACTCTGAATAGATTCCCTGATGGGAATTATTTAAGTGGGTCGGTCATATTTGACCCTCGGACTAGTTAGTCCACTGTCCTGAATGCGGCGTAAGTCTTCCTTGTCTTACCATTGAAATAAAAATTACTTTTGGAGTTAATTTTAATGAGTTGAGTGTTGACAAACAGATTAAACCGTAGTGTCGCTGCCTTTGGAGACTTTGTGGTCCTGACATTTGCTTGAAGAGTTTTCCTAATAGCAGTGTTCATTGTCAGATCGCAGTCCTACATTCTAACACGTTGTGCAGCATCCCTGTTGTTTATTTAATTTTAACGTTTATTTGTTATTGCTTCTTCAGGGCCCTTTAGCTTAAAATGCAGTATTTTAGTTATCAGACTTTTAAACTAAAATTCCAGTTACTGCCACAGCAATGCCGTGTCGTTTATTGAGCATCTTTAATCTTTCAGTAATACCCGGTGGTAGAGGGAACAGGGGCTATTAAGGTCTCAATATTGAGGTAGAAGAGTAAGGTATTGTGATAAATTACCATTTGTTACCCAGTTCATAATTATTAATGAGTTCTGGGTATCAGTGATATGAAGTTCTGGGTATCAGTCATATGGAGTTCTGGGTAACAGCAACGTGGAGTTCTGGGTA